TTTTTTTTTTATGAAAGAAATTTCGATTTTAGTTAACTCTTTACCTCGTGGCCCTTTATAATATTATCTTTCAGCAACCATACTGCAATTGCCTTCAAACAATTTAAAGTTGTTGAATTTCAAGCAATCTGTTAAATTAGGCACCATTACTTAGCCTACCTGAACAAATTTTACAACTCTTCCGGCAATTTTTCAGCATATAGTCTGGATTCTTTTTGCATTCATCAAGAGACGCCCAGTATTCACAGTGCTTGTGATCATCTTGACAACCTAATGGTTCAAGTAAAACAAAACTAGGCAAAATGGCCCTTTTGCTTTACATATTGCCAGTACCTTTGAAATTTGAATCAACCAATCAACATTCAGAAGGTGGTAAAGCTGTACTGTTCACATGTGTGCTAATAGAAACGCTTTGAATCGTAGTGGGGTCACTTTTCTCATCGAGCATTTACGAAAAGGGATTAAACTGCCAGAAACCACAACAAATTGTTGAACACCCCCATTTCACCCTTAAAATGGAATCAAATTTATCGTAGTTTTTCTGAAGCAAATTTTGCTTTTACTAATGTTTTCACGCAAAGGGCTGTAACGGACGACTGTCTTCGATGGCATAAACGTAAGCTCGGCTAAATTTATTTTATACTTGGCGTTCAGTTTTTCGCGTTTTCCATATTCATATTTTACTTGTATATATGAGGGTAGATCTAAAGTGTTTTATTTCCACTCTCAAAACAGACATAACTGCACAATTTGCTGTAGAAGTGTAAGTAAGTACATGGACATTTTAGATACACCAGCTATAATTATAATCGTACAAAAATGTTCCTTGTTGGCACTCAGTGTATTTATCCGCTGATAATTGAAACGCTCCTCCTACTTCAAAAGCCTCCTCCTTTTTTGAGGTCCAATTTGTCGCCAATACAAACTGAAAGAATTTCCGTGTAACATGATCAAGATATGATCAAGAACTTGGTGTCGTTGTCATGAATGGAAAAATACATGCAGCTCTGACTCACTAAGAATTTCGGTAAAAAATATTGGTCCCTCAAGCTGCCGTTACCTTTTAAACGCAGAGCCATGAGCCATGAGCCAAAGACTAACCTTGATTTCCACCTGTTGATCCACCATTGCATTTGTACAAAAGGTTCATTTGTTTTGTGTCCATGCCACTGATTCCATCCCGCTGGCCAATTTTAACCTATCAATCAATCAATCAATTAATCAATCAATCAATCAATCAATCAATCAGTTCATCAGTCGATGAGCGGTTGTCAATTGAGTGTCTTAAATTCAAAACCAATGATTCGTTCTAGTTGCTGCCAATGAACACAGACAATCGAGCGATGCATCAAAACTCGAAGAAAATGCATGGAGAGGCAAGTGTCAAAGCCCGACTTAACACATGATTTCATAATACTTATGTATTACACAGTTTTGACTTTTAATTCTATGCCCATAATTCAGTGGTTATTATTCAATTAATTAGTTTTACATGAATGTAAATAGAATATAGTGTAGTTTAATGTAGTAGTTTTGCTTCTTATGGTGTTAGTAAGGTAGTTAGTTTTACTTTCGGATGAGGAGCCATTTTATCTTTTGTGGAAATGCCGAAATAAAGTCATTATTATTATTATTATTATTATTATTGTCATTATCATTATCATTATCATTATTACTATTATTACGACTACTATTATATTATTATTGTCATTATTACTATTATTACTACTATTATTATATTATTATTATTATTGTTATCATTATCAATATTGTTATTATTATAGTGAACGAAATGACGCGTGGAAAAACACGCACGAGGTTTTGGTTTTAATTTTAAGTGGATAACAAAGTGGCGGATATTTTAAGACCTATCCCTTAGCCTGGTGATGCAAAACGAAGGCAAATTGCGATTACTTTGGACTCTCAGGTGAAAGCCTCTTTAAATGAATAGTTCGATTTATGGTCAGTAGTCCGTGATCTACTGTCTCACAAGACATACCAGAATCCATGCACCTGATGATCAAAACAAATAAACCAAAGAAACGAAAGCAACAAAAACAACAATTGGACACCGGTTACCCCTTGTTTGTTCGGAAGGATTGTTGGTCTTCCATTAGCACTGAAGGCATAGGCATCATAATGCATCACGCTTGTGTAATCGTACGGTGTACCAAGCGAGTCTATAGTATTCCTTCCGTATTTATTAAAGTTGTACGCCATACCTCAGGAAACAAAACAGAATTTAATAAGAACTTTTACTTAATAAAATGAACAAATTACCTCTTAATTTTGCTGGTTTTCTCTTAATTTTGTCCTCGTGACCTCGTTGTCTTTCTAAATATTTCAAAGATCTCTTATTGTAAGGTGAAATACGGTGACTCTCCTTAGGGGTATACGACATATATCGACATGAAAAGGGCGTTTGCGCAATAAATAAATTATCTCTGAATGACGACGAACGGAAAGGTAACGACAATTAGAAAGAATAATTTAAACCCTGACACTAAGTTCCTCTATCATTTTTCCGTGGCAAACTACTAAAATTCGTTCAGTGAACTTTTAACGTAACTCGCAGTGCCGTGAAGTGAACATTCGGTCTGCCCTAGGGAGTTTATTTGTCTTAAAGATAATTTAGAGACAAGTAAGTAGATTCTAGCTAGGACCTGTGTCCGTTTTGAGAGAGTTGACTACAGTTCAAATGAGTTTTGGTGAAAAATTATTGCCGTTGTTAGAATTTTCGCAATTTATTATAATTTGTTTCCGATAAGAGACAAATGGCAATCCTTTAAAATACGGAGCAGCAGGTTTTTCCTGATTGGCTGTTAAATATTGGCTGTGGGACAGTCATGTAAGTATACATTTTCCTACCTTGCATAATATTTTGCGTGTATATAGTGACGTAGTTGTCTCTATCTGGACGAGATTGCTCGTGGTAAAATCCCAAAGCATGTCCTTATTAAATATAAACAAAGCGGGATAATTTAGCGGAAAGTGTATGTCATAAATAAAAACAAACTGTTAATCATTCCAGGTAAGCATATGCCTTCCCCAGAATATGAACAGATTGTTCAGTAACAACACGCTATTGATGACTGCATAATAACAGTCTGAACTAACTGAGTTAACGAAGATTTGTTTAAAACGGTACGCTGCTCCTTGGCAGCAAAGAATTGCATATGACCCTGCTTTCTCTGTTTTTGTTGTTGCTTCTGAACGTTTTCGAACGAAAAGTGAGTCCTCAAGGAAAATTGTGTCTGGTTCCTCAGTTGCAACTAATTTGACAAAAAACGAGCAATTCACGGTAAAGGAATTGAATTGAGCGGTTTTCATGTACTGAATGATTAAGAGTGTGTCCATGGGTGCACCAGGCAAGTCTGCTACATGCCATCTCACCGATTTCAATGAAACT